CACAAGAAGACAGAGAGACGACACTTGAAAATAATTATTTTCACGTCCCTTCCCATGTCCTCCACACAAAACAGTTTTGAATCAATGGAATATTGTCTCTTATGTTCACTCCACCGGAGATAAGGACCTTTCCCGGTTATTATTTTATAAAAAGGTCTTCCTAATATATGTTGAAAAGACCCAAAAAAACACATTTTTTGTATTTTCCACATTTTTTTCAATTTTTTTTTTATATAGCTTTCAAAGACAAAGATCGCGAACGCGCCCTTATCTTAGAAAGAGTCCAAGCCCCTGGTGTCCAGGTTTTACTTAATAAGAGTGGGTTTTTTTTCAACACTTTTAACCTCTGAATCCGAGCCTTTAAGAATTAAATACAATGAAGCAATTACGGAACAAGAGCCAGAAAATCATACCAAAAGTTATATTTATCAAATGAATAGATTATCTTTACAAGCCAGGTGCATTAAATCTTAAAATTTCTAAAACTTATGGATTGAAAGAATAATGAAACAAAATTACATTCTTTAAACTAGTAAGAATTAAGCAAAATAAAACTACACTAATTTAATTACAACCGTTGTTAAAATAAATCTACTGATGAATTAAAAGAAAAGAATGGCTAATAACAAGGACAACTTTAAATCCAATGACGTACATGTTCACCTCAATAGTTTGGGTTTAGAAAAGTCAACGTGATAGGGCTCAGGAAGATTAATGAAACCTTCGGGCTAAATATAAAAAAAAAAATGAGCCGTCGCGTAGCTAAAAAAAAGGCATTGTCCTAATTTTCAGGAAGCTCTACAACTTGCAGCAGGACTAAACGTTGTAAGCGCTATTTTTATAGGTTAAACGGAAACACCCCCAAAATTGCTGGCTTGCGCCAAGGTGTCGTATCAGTTTCAAACCATTGTTGAAGTGAATAAGCGTAAAGATATGCAGCTGAATTGTGCAACATGGGAACGGAGCGCATTGTGAACATGAGTTGTGTGTTTTGTGGGTTTAGGGAAGGGCTGGAGTTGGGTTGGGGAGGGGGGGTGGGGAGAGACATATCTTCATAATTATTCATTGAAGCCAACAGATGTGTTTATAAAAAGTAAAAACAATATTTATAACTATGTTTGTGGATATGTGTAGTCTTGTATGGTCTAAGTAGCATAAATATTTGTTCATAATATTTAAAAAACAACACTGGAAACGCCTTCAATTGTTATAATTAACATTGAGGATTAAATATTGAATAACACAATGCTCGTGTTCAATGAGTCTTAGGTATAATGGAATTAGACGGTTTATTCTTACATTAAGCGAGTGCACGGGAAAAAAAATAGTTATTAAAACAACAGAAATTTGGCTTTTCCTAAAGACACATTTTTTTTTTTTTCATTTTAAATCTGCAAATAAGAAAATTTTCTTGATTTATCTGTAAATTTATGTTGAAAAAAACAACAATATCAAGACAGTAAAGTAAAACAATGGATATGTTTAAAATCATTATGAAGGGTAGATGAATAGTAGTGTAAATCGGAAACGATATAGACATAAGTTGCTGCCCCTTCTACTTTAAGGAAAATGGAAATAAATATAAGTGTGAAAGCACCACACTCTTTGCCTCGGTAATTTAAATCAATGTATAAAATAACTCTTCCTTTTAAAAACTTCAAAATAAAGTAAGATGAAATGTTCTACTCTGAGTGCTGCTAACAGAACCCTGTGTATAACCCTTTACATTAAAAAAAAATAATACAAAATAGCGCAACTTTGTTCTCGGCACACAACTAATCAACACACAACACATCTGGTAGGAAGATGGATTAAATGTCATAGCAGCTCTTCAAAATGTCATCAGTTCCTAATACAATTTTTAAAATTAACACTTATACTTATGCTTAAATTTTCTGTCACGCGTGTTTGTTTTGTGTTTGGACCGCTCAGACATGCAAGGAAATTAATCATATTTAGCACACAATCACAAAATATTAAATAATTGATTCGATGTGCGTCCCTTCATTCCTTGTGGTCACCTATGCTAAGAATATTTGTTTTTCCTCCACCAACGAGAAAAAGCAGCGTTGACTGAGTGCAACATGGAATAAATGTACGAGTGGAAAGGCAAATGGTGAGAATACAGATGTTAGAATATATGTTAACTAGTTAGTTTGAGTGTTTCGTCTTTGTTTGGGTTTTGAGGCGCTTTCGTTATTACGGGTTTTGTGTAGAGAGTAGACATCGTAATGGGTAGTACCAGTAAGAGTGAGCTATCGTAAAGTCGATCATGTGAATTTGTGTTATATTGTATAACTTGTTACGCGTAACTTATACAGATGGATTTGGCGTTTGTATCCTATATGAAAAGTCTTTTTTTAAAACATTAACCTATTTTTTAAATTTAATGAACGGTGCTAGACATATATAGGTTAGGTCAGCAAATGGTTAAAAAATAAAATCCCCCAAGAAAACAATTTCGTTACTTCTGAAAGACTTTGATACATGAACACTTGCCAACAGTATACAATTCGAATGGAACTGGTCAATGGGATTTGTTTGATGTTTTTTTTTTATATATAAAAAAGTTCACCCCCCCCCCCCCCCAAGTATACTAAGTACTTCTTCCAGAAGATAATTCTTGTCTCAATATAAAATCAGTATTGTATGCACGGGCCGAATAAACTGATGTTGCCGGCAATGTTACCTCTAAGGTCTGTTGGTTCATGTGCAAAATCATACAGTTGTGTGCACATTTTTACAGCATCAATTTGTTTGTGTGCACAATTTTACAGCCCACAAACACAAACACGCACTTGCATGGAAATTTGCTGTGCGGAAACTAAAAACTGCTGCTCGGCGTCTGTGAGATAGATGCGCCGCCGCGCATCAGCGCAGCTTAAGAGGACCATTGGTCGCCTGTCGTATGTGATCTGAGGGACGCAGTTTGCCTATCCTTGGTTTAGGAAAAATGTCATATCGTTTTCAAGCTTCTGTTAAAAGACACGGACATGGCGTTTATTGATAAATTTTTGGATTTGTGCATGTATAAACATGTATAGCCCTGTAAAATTAAGCAGATATGGTGTGTTAACGGGGTATGAAGATATTTTTTTGAGCAGAGAAATATCGGAATTATTTTGAATTTACAGTTCCATTTTATTTGAACAGCATATTTTCATTCATATTTTAACTAACATTAAGGACAGATAACTATTAATGACTCAGGGTACAAATGAAGAACCATGCAGTTAATCCCCTTAGCTCGAGCGTCATTTGAGATGGTCATGAGTCATGAGGTTATCTCCTACATACATTTTGCTTCTGTTGTGACCTGCTTCCTCTTCAAAACCGCCCTGCACATGTTTTATATTAATAGTACTGAGTGAAAACAAAATAGGGCTGTCTGTAGGACTATTGTTTAAAGACAGGCAGCCATGGTGTAGGATTGTCTGTAGGACTATTGTCCAGAGGCCGGCATGCATAAAATATTTTATAAATTAACACTTCTTTGTAACACTTGGACCGAAAGTGTATTTCACAAATTCCTCGGGTCTGGTGTAAATGGCATCCGTTTAAAACAAAGTTAACAATATAAAATACAGTAAAACACAAGACTTTAAGAACAAGCGTATTTATGATAAATCAGAAATCTATCATAAGCTTTATCGGACGCACACTGAAGTGAAATAGTGTTCTCAAATAACCCTCTATCATTCACATTATCATGGCTCATTACATGTATTTGAAGAAAAAACTAACTAGGGCTACAGGTTACACATCATTAGGAGTTAGATTGATAATTTTACTTATATATTTATTTCTAAACAGATTATGCATTCTGAGTTCTAATTCTTCACGTTGCTTAAACACCTCATTGGTTCGCCTTGTCGTACCACTTGGAGTTTACTCTTGGACGGCTTTTTAAGTGTTGTTTTGAGAACATCATATTTTAGCGATCAATGAGATAACATACACGACCTAAGGAGATCATGTGCCCATATGCATTTCATAGTATTGGTTATGCAAATTAAAAATTCTAAAAATAGTTTACGCCTGAGGAAGTGCACTTTTATTCAACGCTTAAATATATCTTTGTCAACATTTACATAGGGAAAATAAAAGACTTATAGTGAACATTGGATGCAGTTGACTTTTAAAAGTGATTAATACTTTGCTTCGGTAAATATCAATTATTTAAAGGTTTTAATCTAACAACAAAGACATACGAAATGAAAACTGAAATAATTTAAACAAAGCAATTATTTCTTTTTAAATCGACTCTTTATAGTACTTAGTACCCCACAAAGTACAACGCTCTTAAATTAAAAGGAGTATGGGCAGGGGGAAATATTACAGTTGTTTTTTCTTTTTTTTTAGATAGATGGGATTTAAAATATATTGTCACTTACATTCAGTTAGATGAAATTAATTTTCTGGAATTAAAAAAAAAAAATAAAAAATATAAAAAAAATATAAAAAAAATTGTATGCGGATTTCAACTTGTGTAATCGTTTCATTGTTGCTGACCTCTAATCAAAACATACATGTGGCATTAAGATTCTTAGTTGTTCCAAATATATTTATATTTTATTCCATACACTATTTTCCTTTATACTTATATATATATATATATATATATATATATATATATATATATATAATATATATATTTTATTCCACACACTCTTTTTTTTTATACATATATATATATATATATATATATATATATATATATATATATATATAATATATATATCTTTCTAACAAAAATGTTAGAACACACCCACCGTTTACCCAACACACCGTTACTTATGTGTGTTGTTGGTGGGCATGTTAAATCTTGGTTTTATAACGAGCAAACAAAAAAAAGGGGGGGGGGAGGGGATA